GAGAGAGAGAGAGAGAGAGAGAGAGAGAGAGAGAGAGAGAGAGAGAGAGAGAGAGAGAGAGAGAGAGAGAGATGAGTGATACAAGTTTGGTTGTCACGTACCTGTGAATTGTGCAGTGCAGTCCCACGCGCGCCGTCGTGTGTCGCAGGGAGCCGCGGAGCTCTACCACAGAGAAACGAAGGAGGTGAAAGAGAGGACAGAGGGAGAGAACGAAGAGAGAAGTGAAGTGGAGGAAGAAGAAGGGAGGGACGAGAACAAAAAAAGAAAGAAAGAAGACAGTCGGGGTGAAGAGAAAGGAGGCGAGGAAGGAGAAAGGAAGGAGAAGGGTGGTGAGGAAGAAGAAGCCGGCAGCCATAGCTGACCGGGCGTTGACCGGGAAAGTTGATCAGGCGTGGATCGGGCGTTGACCGGGCGTTGACTGGCCGTTGGCCGGGCGTTGACCGGGTGTTGACCAGGGTTGACAAGAGTTGATCGGGAGTTGACCGGGGTTGACTACAGCGTTGACCAAGATTGTTGACCACGAATTTGACCAAGCTGGAGCCGGTATAATCTTGCCAAGCCTTCAGCCTATCCCCTCGCCCTATGGATGTGCACACACCCTGTGGTACTTGCTGAGTCAAGTTTGTTTGTCTCTTCTTTCTGCATTGAGTCTCTTCTGTCCAGGTGATAGGAACTATGTGGATGAAGGATAGGGCCTTGTTGACCAAACCCACACGGGCTGAGTAGGGCTAAAGACTGCGTCTGACGACTCGACTGTCCCGGAGGACACGAACCCTCCCAAGGACCGGTACTGACCGCCGGGCTGCTCGGTGTGGCACGGTAGGCCCAAAATCCGAGCTGTGGGCTGCACAGCAGGTGGTCCAAGTCTTGAGAGGACCTGCTGATCGCGTCGTCCTGTCTGTGACATTAAATAATTCCTGAGGAGTTACAGGGGATCTCCGTAAATGCCTCCTGATCAGCAACAGGGGACCTGCTTATCGGGCCCCAGCCCCGTCCTGCCCTCCCACGGTTTGCTTTTGTTACTACAACAACAACTACCACCGCTACTGCTGCGGCTTTTTTTTTTTGGTTGAACCCTGCACCGACAGATAGGAGTGATGGTAAGACCCTTTTAAAAGGATTGTTAAAGGTTGAACAGTGGTGCAAGTAGTTCCTGAAGTAGATGTATGACTGCTACTGCTACTTCTGCAGACCCAATAGCAGTACTCTCTCTCTCTCTCTCTCTCTCTCTCTCTCTCTCTCTCTCTCTCTCTCTCTCTCTCTCTCTCTCTCTCTCTC